GTTAAGTTTTAGTTTTATTAAGGCCCATTTTGTAAGATATAATTTGTTTTCAGGTGTTCTCACTGTTTAACAATTAAAAAACAACTATTAGCTATTTCTATACATACAATTATCTTATTATCTTATCATATTGTTTTTCAAATGATGCCCAAAATATTTAATTGTGTTGTTTAATTGAGAACATTTGGCTGTTGAAAGTCATTTATGGTTAGTTTAACCGTTCTCCTAACACAAAACACACTCTTTTATGAGCAATCCATTTATCAGCAGAGCCCTGAAGAACTCTGGGAAAAATGTCAGTCAATGTTCATCAGTTTAACAAGGGGCTTCAGAGAGAAGCTGAACCTGCAATAGCCTGAACGGCTCCCTGTCAACGCTGTGGAGCGTGTGCATATATGTACGCATACGTTATACAGAGCAGAGTGTGACCTTAGGAAAGAAAGAAAGAAAGAAAGAAAGAAAGAAAGAAAGAAGGAAAGAAAGAAAGAAAGAAAGAAAGAAAGAAAGAAAGAAAGAAAGAAAGAAAGAAAGAAAGAAAGAAAGAAAGAAAGAAAGAAAGAAAGAAAGAAAGAAAGAAAGAAAGAAAGAAAGAAAGAAAGAAAGAAAGAAAGAAAGAAAGAAAGAAAGAAAGAAAGAAAGAAAGAAAGAAAGAAAGAAAGAAAGAAAGAAAGAAAGAAAGAAAGAAAGAAAGAAAGAAAGAAAGAAAGAAAGAAAGAAAGAAAAAAAAGAAAGAAAGAAAGAAAGAGCTGCTCAGTTATTGCTCAGCACAGTCAGTATGGCTGTATTTTTGCCACATCATTCTGTCGACACCCCTCCCTCCCCCCAGCGCCCTCTGTGGATTCTCCTCACTCTAAGAACTGTGTTCCCTGTGGTGAAATGCAGTGTAAAAACCCTGTGAGTTCATTGGTTAATGGTTTTGATGAACTACACGGACTCATCTGTTTGGCCTCAAACCATCGTTTCCCATTAAATGGGAACGACACGACACAGTGGGGACCTGTTTGCATTCATCTCTGACCTAATAGCCGATAGACAAAGAGAGGGTTTAAGTTCTGTTGAAGTCTGGTTCTGACAAACACCGACAGCAGTTATGAGCCGCAGTTATGGTCCTGTCCACACAGACTCCCTCCATTAAACAAGAAAAAAATAAGTCTTTTATCTTCTTAACCAGAGGCAGACATATTTGAATGTACACTCCTTTATTTTCTTAGAAATATTTTTCAAAATATTAGTCAGATTTACTGCACGTATATTTTACAACTTATCTGGTTGTGCAAGATTAACTACATCCACAATGAGCCAATAGGTAGTTTTCCTGAGAGTAGATAAAGTCAAAACTTCATCCAAATGACTAGCCAAATATTGAGCCAAATGTTGATCAAATAAACCTCGCAAAATGTTAGCCAAAAATATAGCTAAATTAATAAACTGCCAAAATATTAGGAATGACTCTAGAGATGCATTAGAGTTCAGCACGAACAGCAAGTTTAGCAATATTAACTTAAGTTCAAAAACATCTGCAGGACATCCCATGTTAGCCTCGGTAAATATTGGTGTGAAAACTTTGAAATTATTGTTAAAAGTTAGTCAAAAAGCAGCTGACTATCTTATCCAATGATGTTGCAAAGGAACCACAGAACTGATCCAAAATTAGCCTCAATGTAGCTGAAAACTTGGCAAACAGGAAGTAGCAAAACTTTCTCCAAAAACAGCTACAATGATTAGCAAAATAAAAGCATAATTAAAAAAACATTTTTTCTAACAAATCAGGTAAAATGTGGATTTTTAGATTTCTGTTTAAGAAGCCTTCTTTCTGCTTCCAGTGAACTTATTTACAGCTGCCCTTTTGCAATGGAAGAACTATGTCCATTTTTTTTTATAAGCGATCGCTGGGTTTATGTTTTAATGTGGCTGAATTGAAGCACATATATATGATACATCAACATATAATATATGTATACAACATATTTATGGAATATATATTTTGTAAAAAAGATATAAATATAACAATCCCAAAACATCAGGTGGAACAACAACAACAGCAGTTCTTCGTAGGACAGGACTAACGCTTAAGGAAGTCACAACAATCGAGGTTATTTCTCACTGGCTGATGAGCTAAAGATAGTCAAAGTACTACTGTATGCATCGTACACACATTCAGCTATAATGCTGTGGTTATAAAAAGGCCTTGTTACCAATTATATATATATATATAATATGTGTGACTCAACAATTTATCTGCTGAACAAAAGGTCACGCCGTCCTTGTCCTTGGAGTGTCAGCATTTACAACACGGTCAACTAAAGCAGCCCACGCCTTGACCTGACTCTGGGGGCACTGCACTCACTCACTCACTCTGTTTACAGCCGGCTGTGAGGACCAGCATCTGCAGGGCAGACCGGGGGCTGACTGGGATGGGCCGGTCCGCCTGCAGGAGTGGAGTTTGTGCTGCAGTGCCATTTGAAAACGCTCCAACACTTCTGCAGTACACTGGAGCTCACCGGCCTGCTGCTGGATGACTCCTCTGTTTTCACACTTGTACATCACAGCACGGCGCGCCTCATATAGAACACCTTAAAGCAGCTACTTCACAGGCTCCGGAAGAACAAGATCAACAGTGTTATTTATGTATTTGATACTCTGTAGTCAGTAAGTGTCTGAACGGGGGAGGGAAGGAGACGTGAGGAGAGAGATCCAGGACATTGTGGACGTCAGCATGTCGGTAGAGACGGTGGAAGGGAGTAATATCAGTTACAACGCATGTTCTGTTGTGGTTGACGCAGGCAGACATTTACACACAGTTTTTTTTTTTTTAAGAGTCTGCCTTTGTTTGTCCTTCTGTCTCTGAGGCAGTGTAAAACTGACTCTATGTAACGCAACGCTCTGCAGCAGGGCTGTGAGAACTTTAATCAAAGGGAATTCACCCCATACAGCAATCACAGCAACCAGGGGACAGAAGAATGTAAAAAAAATAAAAATAAAAAAATTAATTAAAAAAATAAAATAATAAAATTAAAACAACGAAGAAAAAAAATCCAGGTTAGCCTCCTGAGTAGAACTAGAGTAAAGCCAGAACCACTGAATAATACATGGAAGCTAACCAATAGATAGACCAATGTCTGCTAAACGACATTTAAAAAAGGAACTAAAACTCTGCCCAATAAAGATATGTTAGCAAAAAGAGATACATTTGACAATGTGTAACTTAAATTAAGCCCTGAAATAATGAAACTGTATACCAAAAAAAGTCAATTCAACTTAGACCAGAACCAACTAACATTAGCAAAAAACAATAAAAGTTTGACCAGAAAATGTGAAAAAGTGGCCACATATTTATCAAATTGAAATTGAAAGATGGAACAAACTAAAATACAGTAAAATAAAGTAACAGTAGCAAAATGCTAAAAAAAAGAAGATTTAACAGAATGTTAGCCAGAACCATCAACAGTATAAATGTAGCAGTAATACGATTGTAAATGTAGTTTAGTTAAGTTAAGTTAGGTGAAGTCAAGTATACTCATATATAATACACACATCTATAAAGTAACCATAATAAGATAAGAAATCTCGCTCAACAAAAATCAGCATAAGGTTAGCTAAGCTTACAAAAGGAAGGTTTAGCCCAGACATTCTTAGCTTAAATTAAGCCTGTAAATAGATACAAGTTAGCCGAAATAGAGCTAACATTTAGTTTAATAGTTGTTTCGATTGTACTGTGTCTGATTGTACTACTAATGTCTTTAGCATTTTATTTGTTCTAAATTTAAATCGAATTCTGGTTTTACTTTTTCCAACTGTTTGTTTGTTTTTTTAGATCAAAGTTCATGAACTTCCACTTCACCTGAAGAGACTTAGATTACAGAACATCCAATATGGCTGCCCTCTGTAACTGTGTGTGTGTGCTGGTGGTTTTAACAGCACTAAATGCCAATATTGAAAGGTGCTCAGAAAACACCGACGCAGCTCTTCGGTTGAATTACCTAGTAATGATCGGTGATCTGTGATGATCGACCCGACCGCCCTGAGATCAGAACACAGTTCCATGACTGATGGGAGATCAATGACCTGTCACTGAGGATGAGTCACCAGACCAGGACTGTCTCCTCTGCCCCATCTGCACATCCATATATGTAAATACTGCCTCTGCACTGAGGACACAACAACACCACAACACAAAGGCTAATTAACATTCCTTTGCCTTAATGTTGAAAAACACTGCCTTAAAAATTAAACAAAATGGCTGAAAGAAGACTGATGAACCAAATCTTTCACCTAACAAACCGAATCATCTTCACTGACCTAACCTGTTACCTAACTAAATAACTAAACACAGCTCAATTAACCTTAACTTATAAGCTCACTAACTAAAATATAGCCACTTTATCTGACCTCATCCCCTTACTAACAGTTTAATTAACCAAACCTACCACCTAACTAACTCAAACAGGGCAAATTCACCTAACTCTCCACCAAACTAAAACAGAGCCTAACTCAATATAACCTTTCCTTACCTAACCCTGTCACTGTTGGCTTTGACACACACACACACACATACCAAAGTCACACTCATAATAAAAAAGAAACCCAGGACAAATGTGTTAGAAACTGTCTGTGTGCTGTCCATGGTGCTGAAACGACTCTGGCTGGAAGCACGTGGTTCAGACTGAACTGGATCGTGGACCATTAGCAGAGCGCCTGCGGGGGGGGGCGCCCCCCCCCCCCCCCGCCCCCCCCCCCCCTCCCCTCCCCTCCCCCCACCA